GACAAAGAAATAGTTAAAAGTGTAGTACAAACTATGTAATTGTTAGAATTAGATAAATAACGAATGTAAAATAAAGATATACAGTTAGTCTCTTTGACTGAAAATTGAGTAAGCGTTGTTATAAAGTAAATACTTACGCGATCCGAAGTGTGGTGTGTGTTGTATAGTGTGCGTCTCAAGTGCCAAGTGAGACTCAAATTAAATCAAAGCTGTCTGGGCCAGATAGCAGTCACTACGGTGATTGCCTAACTCTCTGACAGAGTAGAACCTGGGTAACCATGCTTTATAAATAAGAAAATTTTATTTATTGTGAGAAGAATCACAAAGTCTATTCCGAATTCAACTAGGTCAAGTTCAAAATTTTTTTTATATATGAAGAATATCTATCTACTATTACAAAACATGCTGTCCTTTAACTAGACGCTTAATTAAAACATACAGTGAATAGTCATTAATTATTAAAGTCAGACAGGTCTCTATCCGTAAATCATAACAGTAAAAGGTTTTTAAGTTGCAGGTAGCGCATCACTCCTACCCTGTAGCTTTTAATTAATTAAAAATTCAAGATCTGTGTGTTTTTAAAGTAAATTCTGAGTGATACAAAATACAAACAACAGGGAAATATTTACCCATCAAAATTGAGAAACCTATGACACATATGTATGTACGTGCATGTGAGCATGATTACAGTATAAAATAATATTAGTCGATCAAGATATCACATCCAATTTTTTATCATATGATTTTCATAAATTACACAAATTGACAAAATCATATTTTTAAAAATTTTACCCAAAGGCTTAGTTATAACACATAACGTTTCTTAAAACAAATAAGTTGCTAGGGCTTCAACGAAGCGAACAGTATAAAGAATAAGAAAAACTAACTCCACCCGGCAATGTGAGATCCCTTCAAAGGTAAGCAATTATTTTGCCTTCTTTTGCATGATTCTTTTAGAGTTTTCAAGATCTTGACGTGAAAAATAGCTTGTTAGATACACACAAGCAAGAACTTTCTGTGAAATGCATCTTTAAAAGAAGGGTGTCTTATAAAAAATGTGGAGAAAATTAAGAAAAACCATTTTATAATATATAGATTGTGATTTTTGCTAATAAGTTTTTCTTTTTTTTTTCTTTTACAAAAGTAAAAATCATATTGCAAATTTATAAATATATTCAGGGTAATTATTCTTTTATTAATTTTATTTTTGTTTAACATTTACATAATTTATAAATCTAAGATAACATTTTTTGATCTTTCAAATTGGTTATACTACTGATCCTGAATTCGCTTTGATGTCCAATATTCATATGATGATAGCTCTTCCACTAGCTTATTAACAAACTCACTGAGCAACACACTAAAGTTTTTATATTTCTTAAGTTGTTTCAGGACATTTTCTTCTTTGGGTATAGTTTTGTGTGTTATATGTGGCTTTTGAGACTTGAATACAGAAGATGGATTAGTTTCAGAAAATGAATTGGATAGATTAATTTCAGAAGATGGGTTGGCTTCAGAAGAAGGATTAGTTTCAGACAGTGGTGCTAATTGTAAGTCTTGGTTTATTTCATCAACTTCTATGTCATATAATTCTGAGATATGTATAGAACTATTGTCTATTTCTTTTATATCTATTGTCTCTGGTTGGTTAGTATTTTTTCTATACTTATTTTTTTTTGTTACTTTCATGGGTATTAGATCTAGTTTATCACGTTTCATTTTCATTTTGACAGCTGCATTATGAATAATTTATGCAGTGACCTCATTCATTTTGTCAATTCCTGATTGATAACAGTGAAATATTCGTTGATAGCTGGTCGTTGTCAACTGTGTTGTTTCTGTAAATAATGTATGTGATTCTGGCTATGGGTTACTTAATCTTGCTTTAAGTTTATTAATCAATTTTCAGGTTGCTTCTTGACGATCTTTAATAGCTCGTGGGTTCTTACCGATCTTTGGTGAACTCTGAAATTAAAAAGTTAAGTCATTCATCTTCTGCTTGTGTAGATTTAATATTTTATTTTAGATTTTCTAAATCAACTTTATATCTGACCATATTTCTTTTATGTATCTTACAAGTATTTCTAAAGCCTCACCATAAGCTAGAGAACTTCCTTCTAGAGTCATATTTATTAAAGGTATTGCCTGAAAATCTTGAAGTAACTGTGGTTTGCATTTGAGATTTGTTAAAAATCATGCTACAGACTTTGTATACTTTACTCTTTTTGTTATTGGGAGTAAAGGAGTAAATGCCATCAAGCTATGCATTTGCAAGTCAAAATTTGCTATGCAAATTCCAAGTTTGTGCAATTTTAGATATCCTGCTCATCAATAAAAATTATACCAAACTTTTAATAATTTATTGTTTTCTGCAGAAATAACTTAAATTGAAATATTATTTTCTTGTGTATATAGGTGAATCACAACTCCAACGGTTGTCCAAATAAGCTCTAGTACCCAAAATGTTGATCGATAGTCAACATTTTTCTCAAGTTTATTAAGAAATTTAATGCCAAGTTGCGCAGCAAGCCCGAAAAGCCCATATCCTGAAAAGCGATAATTAATGCACTGCACATTGTTTTACTTGTATGCTATTGCCCTAGAATGCAACACACTTCTTGTTCTTTATTCTTATAATCTTTTATATGATGATATATTGCTTCATCGCATACCAAATTTAACACTCCATTTTCAGTGTAACCAAAATCTTCTATATATATATCTACAGCTTTATGAACATTCTCATTTTTGCTTAGAGCCTCTCCAGCTTCGAGAATCACAACATTCGGAGGCGTTAAAAATGATACCGATTTAATATTTTCTTTAAGTGTTGTATTTACTTGTTTAATACCAAATATTTGTTCTTGATTAACTAATCAACTAAAAATCTTATCTATTTTTATATTCCATGCTTTTGTCATAGGGTTTATACCAAAAAGATCTTAAATTTCAAATTGTTCGAAGTTGGGAAGCTCTGGATGCTCGAACTAAAAAACAATCCATAACATTGCATGTGCAGTAGCACAAACTACTTCATAAATATTACCACATTTAAAAGTCTTGTCTTTCATATCGATGTTATCTATAACTGCAAGATTTAAAACATCAGATTTGTATTTAGATCGAGAAGCCTTGAATGAGGATTTGTAGCTGACATCCATTTTTTTGAATACTTGCTTCATGGTCTCTATCATGTGCCACAACCTGAATACCATGAAGAATTTTATACAAATATCTAATCAATCTTGGTCTTCAGCAAAAAGAAGAAAGCACATGGGTAAACCATATTTTCCAATTAGTGAAAGCAATAGTAAGTAGGACTGAAAAGAAGAAAAAAGAATACATTTTGATTTTTTTATCTAATTGTAGTAGTGGCAAGCCTTGTTCTTTTCGTTTTCTAGCCAATACCTTATTTTTATTCTCTATTAGAGTTGAAATAAGACCAAAAAAGAAATTTACAAGAGACAATAGCATAGCATCATAATTAGGGTTGCATCGGTCTCGCAAAAGACTGGTCCTGGACCGGGACTGATAGGGACCGAGGACCGTTGCAAGGACCGGTCCGGGACTGGTCCTTGTAATGGTCCTTATAATAAATTACTACATGCGCTTTATATAAATTCTTTCCCCATATTTTGTCTCTTTTATACTAATTATAATTAGCACCAAGTGAAAGTCTTTAACTAGAGTGAA